CAGGTCCCACCGAGATTTGAACTCGGATCGCTGGATTCAGAGTCCAGAGTGCTAACCATTACACCATGGAACCCCTGCTGTAGTGTTCATACTGTCAGGTCGTGGCAACCTGCCAAAAAGTATTCTGAATTAAGTAAGACTGGTTCCATCTAAACCCATGCCGGAGGTGGATCAGATGAGAAATAGTATATCCTCATGCGCAATTGTGCAGCCCAATAGTACCACTGAAAGTTAGGACCCTTAAGCCCATCCCTGTCAAATGGCAGATATAACAGAGTTAACCGAAGCCGATGGCGATGATTTTGCCAAATAAAATTGGTAATAATTTTCTTTAAGTTAAGAAAAAGACCTACAGGTACTGGTAGAGGGATATTCTGAAATAAGTAGAGGATTTTAGGGAGTACGCTCATCTTCACAATAATATGATATGTGTAGATTTGCCTACCTATCTACAACCTCTGGCGAAGCGGATGGCACAACACAGAAGAGCACAGATGAGGTCAAGGCCCAGCCAAAAGTGAGTTTCAACAATGAGATGGTATTCATGATAAAAAATGAAAAATGTCAATGTGATGACATCCAAAGAGGGAGCTCGCAGTTCCCAGTTTTCATGCTGAAGTTAAAGTCAGAGGAGGTTTAGAGATGTGGAGTCAGTGAGTCAGGAGAGTGTTTGTGACTATTACGCACAAGCACAACTCAGCACTCAGACACCCCACCGAGTAACTTTGTGTGGTGTACAACTGAATTTCAGACAGCTCTTTAGCACCACATAGTGATTGACAAGTATTTGTAAAGACAGAGGTCATGGTTATCTGCTTGATTTTATACACCTCTCACTGAAAACACAATTGTAGCACAGTTCTGGTGTGCCAGAGAAGACATGCCAAATGGTTTCACCTCCAAAAAGCAGGTCTCACCAATTTTTGAATTCAGATCACTGGATTCTAGGTCCACAGGTTTAGTTAGTTTGTTAAGCAAACCACTTACAGTAACCACCAATCATTCAATCATAAAGGGGCATAACAGACAACTTGGCAAAGAACCAAGTTTAAACTCCATCTTTAGACACTTTACTAGCAGCCTGTCACAAAACCACACACTTTGGTCTAATTTCTTTACCCGAATCTATGAAAAATACCAGATATAACACAGTTTGACAGACATAAAACAGCATGTTTGCACAAACAAGGTGATTCCCAAAGAGCTATAAGCTAAACTGTGGTATATCTCAGCATGGTGTGCAGAATGTCCTTAAAAAAATGAGGATGTTTGACAAGCAGAGGACTAAAGAAGACTACATATAAAAACTAGACGACTGAGACATGCATCTGGCTCTTCAGTTGATCCCTCCAATGTTCATTGAAGCCTTATCAGAAGTGATCTTAGTAAAAAGGTGGCTGGCATGAAGCCCTTTTTGAAGGAAAACTGGGAGAAAAGACTGAAGTATTCAAATCAAATGGCCTGCATTTGTATAGCGCTTTTCTAGTCCCTAAGGACCCCAAAGCGCTTTACACTACATTCAGTCATTCACACACTGGTGATGGCAGCTACATTGTAGCCACAGCTGCCCTGGGGTGCACTGACAGAGGCGCCACAGTAATTTCTGGGTTTCTTGTGTAATTTCTTGTGAAATTACACAAGAACTGGACTTAAAATCAGTGGTAACAAGTCTACAGTTAAAAATTCTTATTCAAATCTTCTACAATGGAACCCCAGAAAGTTCATTCTGTTCATCTGGATGTGGCGTTTTCAGCGAGCGACATGTTTTATCACTTGGATGTTTCACAAAGCGTTTCTCACTGAAAATGACACATCCTTTCTTGGGACTTGGATGATTATGCATTTCTGGTAAATCAGTAGTAGTGACATAAAATGTGTCATCCAGAAGTTCTGCTGGTGGGGAAAACAAGACAAAATCATCAAAAAGAAATGTTTTTATTGTTCTTGCTTCACAGGAAAAAAAAAAGTTTATACAGAAAAGTTACTCACATTCCTGAGAATACAGATTGATCACAGTAGATGTCTGATGGGCACTGGGGGGGACTAACATTGTTTGCAGTCAGGTTTCATGGGTTAGGTTGGGGGGAGTCCTCAGTGAAATTATCATCTCAAAACCAGCAAACGGAAAAGACAAAAAATTTCATCTTCCTGAGACACAAACACATCCATTCAGTTACAAGACCGATGTGTCTAAAGCACAATTTCAACCTTGGGGAGGGTTAATCTTTTTTTCTCCTTTTTTTTTAAGCTGTGCATTTTTCTGTACATCAATGTAGCTCAGAGAAATAAAAGTCAGTAGTACAGCATTTCAACTGCCTCCCTTGAGACAGTCATGCAAGAACCGCTCCCTGTTAGAAGACTGAACATTTGCACTAGTACATATTCACAGACATTTGTGCTTTTATGATAACTAAACTTGACATGAAGACAACTCCTGGCAAAATAGGTCGTTTATGTCATTGGCAACGACACAGTCAGATCGGTATAAATTAACTGTTTAAGTTTGAAAGCGTTCCCCTTCATTCAGGCTGAGCAAGGAGAAACAGCTCCATCTAGCTCATGGGTGGACTAACTGCATCAAAGCAACAACTGCTTTCTGCTACTCAGGAAGGAAAAACAGATGGAAGCAAATTTTAAGCTGAGGGGTAAAAGAAAACTGCTCTATCAACAGACTAAGCATGTTAAACACACTAGAGATGAGCATTTTTAGCATTTTCATTAATTACTAAAATAATGCATTTACAACACGGGCAGTGTAACTTTTGTGTGCCTTAGTTGGCAGTTGTAGTTTCTCCCCATATTTCTAAATTGTTAAATTCATCTCTACTACCACCACAACTATACTGTGTCATGGAGCAAGATAACAGTACGTGCAGTATGCTTCTGTTTTTGTACCCTCTTGAGAAATGGTATGGAAATACTTTAAAAGAGAATACGGGAAAAACTGGAGTAAACTGGAGACATTTGGAAGCACAGATTCTATTAAAAGTAAAGTAAAAAACGCAATTTTGTAACAAGTAATTTCCTCTTGGAGAGACATGTTTACACGTCGCCCTGCACTGACTTCATTGCAATACTTAAAAAAAAAAAAAGAGAAGAACAAATTAAAGATATTTCTACGAGTAGATTTTTAATCACAGTTAAAATAAAGTTCAGTTCTGAAATAGAGAAATGAAAATATACGCTTGTTAACAACTTTATCATTTAATTTACAGCAGTGGAGCTTATTATACTCGAGGATGAGAAATTATGTAAGGAGTAAAAACTTTTCCTAGCTTCACATTTATTCCACACTTATTCAAAAGATGTCTCACAAGTTCCAGTCATCAGTAGTACATACAAAGTGTTTGGATATCCCAAAGAATTGGTGAAAAGTACATTTTATAATTCCATATAATTACATAACCCTGTTACTTCGCATATCTTGCAAACTTCATGTTAATCAAAACTCTTCCTATATCCCACTGTCAGCTTGAACAAGCCCAAAGTTTTTCTATGAATCACAATTGCTGGTGCCACTAATTTTTTCTAATGTGGACAGAACTAAAGAATAGAAAACAAACAACTAAAAAACAAAACAACCCTTCAACTTCCCAAATAAATTCCCTTTTCACAAAATGATTTTTAAAATATATCAACAGTGAGCACTAAGTTGGCAAGTTAAGGAGGCTTAAAACCTAATTTTTAAATTACAGCCTAATTTTTGAAGAAAGATATTTATCACGGTCATCCTTATGTGTGTGTTTTTGAAAAGCGATTTTTCAACTAGTATACATAAATCTTTTCAATACAATGTAGTCTTTGTAAGTATAGCAGAGTATATAAAATAATAATAAAAGCGTTACAAACAAATATTATAAGGATTTTTAGAAGATGACCCAGGCTAACTGTAAAGACAAGATGTAAAATATTGTACAGGACAGCCTTCCATCTAGGTATGCGTGTCTGAATGGATCATATTGCTTCTTCAAATCAGAACCTAGTTATTAAAAAGTTATACAATGTCTCACACACTCACACACAGCAAGAAAGATGAGTCGAATCAAAGCAGCACAACTGTAGACAGATGAAATGTGTTCCCTGTGACTTTTTCCTCAGTGGCCAAACACGTATTACGAAAAGAAATTGTGCTTTAATGTGGCGTGACAGGACTGACGCAGGAACCTCAACCACAGTCCGCAGAACAGAAAGGAAACTAAATCGTTGCTGAGAATTAATGATTACATGTCGAGGTGTTCAATCTGCCGAGCCCTCACAAGTAGACTAATGGAAGACAAATGTAGTTTGATGCATATTAAGAATCTACTTAAATAAGAGCGCAGATTGTCTCAGGTTTGTGTGCTTTTAGCCGGAAATTCTTATGCCTGATCTGTGAAATCAGCCTCTCATTTATGGACATGTAGAAGCGACTCTACTGTGCACGTCCAGAGGAATTGTTAGAACTTTGCACCTCTCACAAATTTAGCACAGGCAACTCATCTTGCAACATGCTGTCTCCTCCGGAACTGCCTCGGCTTCCTCTTCCTTTTATAGAGAAGAAACTGCCTCACCACAATAGTAGCTCATGAGAGTGTGGTACACCCTAACATGTCAGATATAATACCAATGTGCGCTAACAATTAAATGATATCACAAAACAGTGGTAGTCAAGCCTCAAGCCAAATGTCACGTATTTGATTTTCTTCCAAACAGAGCAAGCGTATTTACTTTAAACATTGTTTTATCGAGCCTAAACACTGCACCTTTAAAAAAATAAAGTTTAAGAGAGCCTCAAACATACGTCACCTGACTATCTTCACCTTTAGCTTACCTATTGAACATAATTTAGATAACACACTTGTTTTTTTTTTTTTCAAAAACAGGACAGAAGCACAAGCCTTGGCACTATTCTACGAGGATTTCCTCAGTCTTCATGGGTTCTAGTGGGGTAACAGAGTTGGACAAATCTGAGCCTTCATCTTTGGAAAATTCTTCACGTGGGAGCAGCGCACCTGAGTTTCCCTGCAGCCCCACTAATCCCCCTTGGGTGAAACACAGATGTCTGATCACCTCATTGGGGCTAGAGAACGTAGTTGCACAAATGTTACACTTGTAAGGCTTCGATGAGCCCATAAACATCGCCTCCATCTGGTTGCTGTCGTCACCTGCAGCGCACAGCTCCATACTCTGCCGGTCCACCATGGTGTATGTGTCGGCCCCCTGGTTTAAGCACACGTGCCGGGCTGCCTGGTTTGCACGGCAAAAGCTCTTGCCACAAGTGCTGCATTTGAAAGGCTTTCCTGTGTGGATGTACATGTGTTCGCGCCAGTGGCTCTTCTGAATAAACTTGCGGCCACAAGTGGAGCACTCGTACTTCCGTCGCTTCACTTCCCGGTCCACGTCTGTGTTCTCCAGGTTGTCGATGTCCGCGATATCTGAAGGAGGAGGCGTATCGGCCTGAGAATTTAACCCTCCCACTCCCCAGCTGGAAGTGGACACCTCTGCTCGAGGAGAGTCTGAATTGGTACCTGAAACAGGGGTTTGCTCACTGTCGCTAATGATCTCGACCGCTGTCGGTGCAACCGAGCCACTTGACCCAGCCTTGTTTCCCTTTAGAACTCCCTCAGCTGGTAAGCCGTGCTCTTTAGTTATGACAGGTGAGAGTGAATTGCTGGGCGCAGTCGAGGTCTGCTGAAGAGCCTGTGTGTGCTGCAGGAGGTGCTCTCGCAGGAGACTTCTCTGGGTAAATCGACTCCTGCAGAGATGGCAGGAGTAATGCTTCCTAAAGGAGGAACTCCGCTTCATTATGCTGGGCTTTACATGGAGGATGGCACCTGCTGACGAACCGTCCGGACTTAGGATATCCATTACCCCGTCCTCAACCATAGGCTTTGCACCACTAGTTGAAGCCTCCATATCTGGGGGTGAGGAAGCTTGCTTTGGTGGTAAGGAATTTGTGTATGAACTAGTAGGCGGCGTGGCTGGATACTTTCCTTCTGAGCTCCCCTGCTCGGTATCAAAGGGTGAAGAGAGATTCTGCCGACTGGGCAGTCTGGCCGACAGCGCAACCTGTTGGTCAGAGATCTGGATGCCATAGAGAGAGGTTGAGAGGTTGATGCTTTGCTCGGGGTGGGAATACACAGACTGGCTTGCCTCCTGCAGGAGTGGATAGGCGTGCAGGAATCTGACCCCCTGCTCCAGTCGTGCAGGGTCTATGAGCTGTGGGGCAAGTTTGCCTGTGTACATCAGGTTGAGGAGGTAGCTGAAGATATCTGGCTGTATGTCCGTAGCCTTAAGACGCACACAGTCACTAAAATACATACAGAATGTGGTCAGTTAACATCAAATGTGATACCTGAGATTTAAAAAAAAAAAAAAAAAAAGCAACAGCAAAATGCTGCAACAAGTTTCAGTTTTCAGCAGGAAAGACAACAGATTCAAGCGAGGACTCCTGATGTCTGAATAATTAAAAACCTGTAACAAGTTGTTTATCACTTTTTTGTTGTTGTTGTTTTTTCATTTTACATCTGCATTATTCTGTTTGAATGCAAATTGTCATCACTGAGGGACTTCTGAGCTATTTCTCTGATACAACTATTAGTACTCTCCCGCTATACCTGTCTTGGTGAATGAAGAGCATTCTAAAGTAGTTGGAGAAGGCAGCGAGGACAGCTTTGTGGGCTTTGAAGAAGACATCTCCTATAGCCACGGTGCAATCGCACAGGAAGCCAAACTCTCTCTGAGCGTTAAGCTGCTGCAGCAGGATAAGACCATGGTTGGCCAACTCCATTCTTCAACCTGCACAAAGACGCACAAAAACACACACAGACACAAGCGACAGTAAGTTTCCTGTCTGGAAGCAGACCAGAGTGTATTGTGACCACAAAGAGTTAGGCTGACGGTGGAGATCTAACGACCCTGTAAAGGCTAACTTGACGCAACCATAAAGAATCATTTAGTGACACTGGAGATCATTTCTCAAGCAATAATTCACAGAAACGCATGCTTATCAAAGGTATGATTTAGCAAATCCAAACATCTTAATCTGAGTGGCTAACTGTATTGAACTCCTGTGGATATTGAGTGTTGTACATTGGTAGACGTGGGAAAAACAAGTTGGCTTCTTATTTAAATTTCATCCAGAACATCAGACGCATGGAAAAAATATTCTTGTTCTGAATGAACTTCAGAGACCAGACACTTTTAATCAATTTTATCCAGACTGACTGGCTGCCTTTGAAGTTTTCAAACTAGCTTTGTACTCAGAGTCCCTAACTGACTTCTAATGGCAGTCTCAAAAACGCTACCCTGAGCTGATGAGAAAACAACAAAACCTAATCATGAAAATTGCAAAATGTCTAACAAAGGCTGTGTTTCTATGGTGATGGATATATATATCCAGGTATATTTTAACAAAAATACACCTTTAAATTGCATTTAAATTCCTATAACAGGAAACTCATCTACTAGATGTGTGAGAGAGGAACATATACAAAAACCTTTTTTTAATTAATACATAATTCTGAAAAAGGTTTCCACTCAGAATATTTAATGGAGAAATTAAAAATTATATCACCATACTACAAACAAACATTGACACAAAAAAATTTAGTCAAAGGGCCTCAAATGACATCCTGGTAGGTAGAAATTGCATGCTTTTTAAATTAATGTTATGTTTTCCACGATGTTTGAGCCTTTAAAAGTTGGAGGAGACAACCACATATAATTTTCAGGTCTGAATAACACATTTGAGCTCTTTTAAAAACTGTGTCCTACGGTGAAAGTGCACTAACTGTTATATACTATATCTGCAGCTCTTGTCTGTGTACAATTAACTTTTTGAAGCACTCAGTTCTGGGTAAGTCCTGGGAATTCAAACTCAAGGAGCATTTCTGAGCTCTGCGGCTTCACCTAACCAATGAGATGAGCTTTTGCTGACCCTAGGTCACCGGAGGACTGAGAGGGCTTTGGGCGATCACATGACCAGGGTTATGGGTGTCGACACACATTCCTAAGACAAACTGGTTCTAGCCCTGTTCAGTAGATAACCATGTGGATCTCCTTGCTACAACAGTTCTCCACATCACGCAAGCAGACAATAAGGGACACCTCACCACTTAACTTCTCATACAGATCAGAATGTGTAGCACCACAAAAAAACATTCAAAAGCCCTCCGCACATCTGCTTCAGAGGTCAGAGTGCAAAGAAGCTGGCATTGCAGCACACCAGGAACATGCTAGAGTTTCTGCAATAAAAACTGGCACAGAAGGCTCAGAAGACTAAATCATAATATAGACCACCTTTGATTCTGTCACACGTAATATTAATATACACTAGGTAGATACACCTTGCTAGAATTACAATTCAGCACTAAATCCAACCTCCACCAATGCTAAATTGCTCACTTTTCTTCATTCACAACAGACAGCTTACAGTCAATTACAGGTGAAATGAATGATCGCTCAATCAATCAATAATAACTTTTCTTAAAAAGTATTTTGCCCTAATTTGGTCATCATACATTAGACATTAACAAGCTAAAATAACAGTACAGAACAATCTGTGGTTCCAGTTTATATTTCTTCTGCTCTTCTCTGTAAAGATGGGCCCCACTACCTTAAATATCTAACCTCACAATATTACACCATCTATGTCAGTGACGATCTGTGCTTTTTATTCAGAATACCTCACAATTCCAAACCGCCACCATCTCCAAACCATGTCTCTAAAATAAATGGAGAAAAAAAATGAACATCCTAATTTTTATGATTTTACTGCTAGGTTATTTTTATCTAGGTGTGCTACAGCTGCGTGTCCTCTTTACAGCACTGCTATATACCTAACAATCAATGAATGGTCTTATTAATAGTTGCCCTGATCCTGGGTACCTACTCTATCACAACATCATAGTTGCTTTTTGAGTACAGTAACATGCATCATGTATGTTATATATCTAATTTTATGTTCACTAGTTTTCGGTTTACAAAGCAGCACAGGAAAACTAAAAGCAACACGACAGAGGCAAATGTTGTCCTTAATAGCTGCTAAACCCACAAGAGAACCAGAAATCATTAATGTATCAGAATCTTCAGTCATTAATTGACTGCTCTTTCTTAATAAATAACCTTTTCACTTATAGATAGATAGATAGATAGATAGATAGATAGATAGATAGATAGATAGATACTGCAAAAGTATTTATTTCTATATGCTGCGGGTTTCTGCAACACCAGAAATCGCGGTGAGCCTCCGAATCCGCCTGTTTTCTTAAAGCAGTCTAATTTGGGGCTTCACTTACGCGATTTAGTAAGATAACAGTACTATTTAACCGCAATCGAGCAACTCGAAAGCCAATAGAGTACGTCTTAATCAATACTAAGTTGTTCGTAACAATGTTGCACCGCCCCCGCTGTGATGTAGACACGTGGAACAGTTACTTCCGTAGTGAGATTCTCCAAAAAAAATACACCGTACAAGTGCCCATGAGGGAAGCATGCGAGGAAGGTAAACACGCTACAGAAATAAAGCATTTCATTACAGAGAACAGAAAATTATACGTCGAGTACATAAAGAAGCCCAGACGGAGCGTACAACACAAGCGCGCTTGGACTGAGTCCTGCCCCTGCCTCAGGTCTCTCTCGGTTGCTATTGCTAGCGCGAGAAAACGGACGTGCGCGCTCGCGCGCGGCCAACACACACATACGAGGAAGGAGAGCGAGCGACGCAAGGGGGATGGGGCTGGTCACGAACGCGTTTCTTTTAACTTCCCCGTGACAATTACAGTATTAGCCGAAGCACACACGAGTAGCGCACTAATTTTACAATACAAGTAAACAAACTGGCTGGTATGTCGCTAAAAACAACCGTACCTGCGCGCTCCTTAAATTGGCGGAGTTTGCCGTGTCGCCGTTGTTTGTTTGTTACCGGAGACTCGTCCGTCCTCTGGGCTCGCAGCAGCTTCAACTGTTCCTTGTAAACGCTGCATTCGTTGGCAGCGGAGAGAGGGTCGTCCGTCGGTGTTTTCCGGTTAGGGGTTTTACGTTACAATCACATGACTGTGGGTAAAAGCCAGCCAAAAACAGCCGTTGTAAAATCCGTTGAGCAGGGGGCGTTTGAGTTAACGTTAATTTCCCGCACTGTGTAACCGCCGCGAGATCAACCCCCGCTTGCCAGCTTTCTTCTTTTTTTTTTTGACAGTCGGCCGAAGAGGTTGAACACAAACAGCCAGCAGCTCCACGCAGTCTGCGAGTTAATAATTGTGCCGCTGCCGTTAACGACACGTAAACATAAAACCAAACTGTGGCAGTGAGTGTCTCTGTGTGTTGGCCATGACTTTTTGGCCACATTACAAACTGCGTTACTCACAGTCGTCTCATGTTTGCATATAAGGTTAAAGTAGATTTTCAACAAGTTAAAGGGCAGTATAGAGATACTTAAGCTAGGCTAACGCAACCGTGCATGTCGGGGGCTGTTGCAGACATCAAATAACGGTTCAAAAGACGAATTAAGATATCTAGGTTTAAATGGTCATTATGGTTTTACTTTTGTTTTTAACAGTAATAATAATTAGGGGAGAAATACTAATTTGTTTATTTTTATTTACAACTTTAACACTTAAATAATTTTATAGTATTTCTTAAATCAGATAAGAATATTAAATGTATTCACAGATTATTAAAAAAATTGCATTGTTCTTTGGAATAAGAAAACTGGTCGCTTTTATGAAGAAGACACCATACTTAATATACCTGTTTAGATTATAATCGAGTAATAATTATATTGCAGTTGAAAACCTAACTGTATGATGATGAATTATATATAACTCAAACATCCACAATCCTGCTGCTGAACTAAAGCATGGTGTATATATTGTTTTGCTGTGCATGTCTCTATATTATACATAATACTGTCAATATTCCATGCATATACTGTATATATAACTAGTGATCCATCTGTTATTTGTTCCACAATTTATTGCACTCTGCACCATTGCATTGCAAATATAAATCTAAACACACTGTACACGTTGTTATTGTTTGTGTTACGTTGCTGTTGTCTTTTTGTCTATTCTGTTAAGTACATTGAGAACAAAGAGAAAAAAGAACAGCACAAATCCTTGTTTGATTTCATATACTTGATCGATAAAGCTGATTCTGATTGTGATGACTGTTGGTCTGTTTTGGTTCCAGTTTCTTAAACAAATCCCTTTATCTTTCAGCAAAACAGAATTTCAGAATTCAAGAATCACATTAAGTAGATCTGTAACACAACTTAAAAGTCTACACTCTCTTTTTATGGTAACTACTTGGTTCCTATATGACTATATCATGTCACATGTTTGGGTAATGTTATATTTATTTATTTTATCAGTATTCTGGCTATTTATTGTCACTTCTTTTTTATTTGTGGAACTAAAGTAATTTCCTGCCACATCTGTAAAAGAGTACAAATAGTAGCAAAGAAACCAACGCTGTACTCTGTATTCTGTAGTGGTAACTTGCCTTGGCAGTGTTATATGTGTAAATTCCTAGTGGCAAACACAGTTAAGGTCTAATATTTCATTAACTTTGTATCACCCAATCACTTGGACACCAACTATAACATTTCTGTTTCTTTTATTTTCAAAAGTTTAATTCCTCAATAAAAAGATGTCCCCTACATCAGTGAAAGTTTCCCAGCAAAGCAAGCTAAAAAATATGTTGCAGAGTTACTTCTTGGAACAGGTTTGGTTGTGATGTCACCAGACATGCTCACCGGTGTGCACCTTAAACTCGTGTTATAGGCGAGACACTTTCCACCTACAACTATGTGATGTGAAAACTCTGAAAATACATCAATTTGTATAGAGTTCAGGAGGGGGCTTTAAGTTACAGCTGTTACTTTGTGAGCTCAAAAAAAAGAAAAGAAAAAAACAAACAAATGCATTGGGAAACTCAAAATGTTGGAAGTCTTATTCTGAAAAGTTTTGTGAAGGGGAAGTAGTTTCAGTTGAATTTTAACCAAAACCAGAGACACAGAAAGTATAGGCGGAGCTTTTCACGAGTGTACTTTGGAGTCATGTCAATATTTTGTCATCAGATGTTGTCATCAGCAAGTTGCTGGATGTTGTCCCAGTGTAAACACCTTTTTTTTTCCAAGGCCTGCCATTACTGAGCTACATTTAAGGACACAGGGTTCACAAGGGAGGATGAACCTAAGCAAGTTGTGGCTCTTTGAAAATGCTTGCTTTGCAGGAGGCTGGGTGGAGTCTATTCAAAGGAGGGGATAAAATGGCTATTAGGTGGGACGTAAGGGCTTTTAAGTCTTTGTCCTGTTAAAAAAAAAAGGAGAAACAATCTTGGCCATAACATTACTTAAGCTACTCGGTTAATAAAAATGTAGATTTATAGATGGTTCAAAATATTTAACAAGCAAAACATGGATGAAGACCACGAGGACGTCAAGGACAAAAGCATATTTGATTACTGAAAGATGCACGGCAGGGATGTACTGAATGTAGTAGATAAACTGTAAACCACTGGATCACTGTTACTGTTTACAATGAGGATCAATACATTCAAGCTTTATTCTGTGTCATTAGGATAAATGTACTCCTTCCCACGTTTGTTTATATGGACTTAATCTGTCTTAAATTTTCTCAGAACAACTTATTCTTTGCAGTTATTACCGGTTAATTCATCTGCGCTGCAGTAACGTATCTTTTAACACGAGAATGGTGAGATTTGTGCCTGTCCCTGCAGTTTATAGGGGCTTGTCGCACAAACGAAATCCTGCTGTTAAGTAATGCATGGCGTGACTGCGTGTGGGGAGCTGAAACACCCAGCTGAACAAGGCCTTTAACGTTAACTGCCGCCCTGCCCCCGTCCTTGGCCTGTTTTGAAACCGGAGTGGTGAGTCACTGCTCTCTCGGTTTAGAAAAACAGATCCGGCCAGGCTGGGGCCCGGCGGGGGGATGGGAAGCCGGCGATAGATGAACAGCGGAGGTGGACGCAGCTGGACTCCCACTCCCAAGGACCCCGACATCCTGACAACCGCCCGGTCGTGTTCCCATAGTGACCGCGGGGATGATCTGAGAGAAGGGAAAGCACCGCCTGAATTAATTGATATGCGCATCTCTCCAGGCCAGTAATCGTGATAGCAGAGTCAGTTGGCCATGTTTCTCATAAAAGGGGAAGCCCGGATCCCCCCCACCCCACAAAAAAAAAAGAAAGAAAAACGGACCGACCGCGAATTTACGTCATTAGGCCTACTCTGTTGCCATGTTTTGTTTGTTTTATTTTGTTGTATTTTTTCCTGGAGTTGATCAAACACGACATATACAGTGCATGTTACCCTGTTATTTTTGGCATACCAGAGTCATGTGTATCACAAGCTAAAAAATAACGTATTAGATTTTGTATTCTTTAGCTGTTAGTTTGACTGCTCTTCTGTTACTTGCCAATTACATTTTCCATTTTCGTTAATCATTGATTGGTTGATTTTCGTAACCTTCTTGGCTATACATGAAGGAGTCGTTAAAAAGGGTGTCAGTAGGTCAACTTTTCTCTAAACTTTTCGGTCAATGCTTGTCTGCCGAAAAGTGATTTCCGATTTTTTCCATGTCTTTCATGTGTTAGTATCTTTATTTACATTATTAAATACACCGTAGTGAATGTGGTTTAGATAGATATTACATAGATAAAATAAAGTCTCTGCATTTGACACCGACTCTGTGTTACTGTGCACATTATAATCAATCAAGTTATTTTTGGTCATTAAAGTATGCTCATAGAACTGTACAATTTCCTCTGCCTTCTTGGCCAGATCTGTCTTGAAAAATAAATTTTTACATTTACGCCATCTCATATAAAAATATTAAGTTGAATTGTTTCATGTTCAGACTTAAACTTTAAAAAAATAAACAAGTTTTATCTTGTAAGAGCAAGGATTACGTTTTGTTTTTTACCTGGTTAAATAAAGGAAAGTTGCCAAAAAAGATTCGATGTTTTACATGTGCGTGTTTTTGTTTCACATGTTGGCCGGCAAACTAATGAAAAACACAGCTAGTTGTTATTGATGTAGAATTTAGTAAAGGTTTTAAGAAGGAAGAAGAAACAACATATATAACACATTAATATATAACATAACCCATTCATAACTCCTTTTGCCCACATTCTATATTTACTAATATAAGCAAACATATTACACATTAAAAAACGACACTTGTATGCATTGTTATTCTTCCACAATTGACAAGGGTCAGAAACAGGAAGTCAATGGAAACCGCAGTACCCAACCCCGCCCACTTCTCCTCCCCTTTTGCCGCCAAAAACCCTTTGGCCTTTTCTAATAGGATGAATGAATGTCTCCATGACAATAGTTGCCCTGGACAACAAGTGATGCTCAGCGTGCTACCTCAGCAGCTCAATGCAACTCGGCAGGCGTACCAACCTTAGAGCCACCTGAGATAACACCAGCTTTGAGACCTTTGATATTTAAGGTAATATGTATTGCTGAAACAGTTGATACGACTTGAAAATGCAGTCTCGGTAACAGTTTGACAGGTTGTCAGCACTGTAGTTTACGTGTTAACCGTTAGATGGTAGTATCGTGTCCCTCACTAAAAGCACAAAGCGCAAGTGGGAAGAAATGTATTTTTTACAAATGTAAAAATATTCTTAGGAAAAATAAGAAGTGAACCCTGGGGCAACCTATCTCAACACGTGACTTCTGCAGAAAAGCAGACGTCACCTTTAACCTCCTATCTATTCAAGAAACTTTATTGCTGTCCCAGTGCTTTTATTGATAAAGTTTGAATTTGAACCCCTGCTAACATCATGGCGACGGATCAAACTATGCACGGAGTTCCCCCTTCATTGTCTGCCAGAGTGGTTGGGTAGGTTGACAGCTGATTACTTGACTTTATCGCAGAATTGTTAATAACCTGGGGATTTACGTTTCCTTATGAAAATGGTCTCGTAACGTTGGGACGGTAGAGTCCAGACTAGCAATAGCATTAGCTTCCCGCTAGCTGTAAGTTGACAGTGATGGTGTGTAGGTATTCAAGCACAGGACGTTGTTTAGGTCAAACCAGAAATTTTATGGGTAAACAAAGATAAGCATGCGAAGGTAATATCACTCCAGGGAGTATACTTTTTGTATTCCACAAAGAAAAAGCTAAGCTTACAGATGGCTTATTAGCTAGTTAACTTGCAAATCAGTGCTGCAGTATAAAAGGGAGATATTCTTGGTTATATGTTTTCTCTGCAGGTCATTTGCTTATTTGACCGTTAGAGACAGACTACCCACCATCCTGACCAAAGTTGTTGACACAATTCATCGCAATAAAAACAAGTTTTTTGAGGAATACGGAGAGGTAAGACCACGTTCATTCAATTGAGGCAGTTATGAGGTTCACGTTAAGACTTGCGTTGGATTTTGCCGGTGCTTCCCCTTTATTTTTTTCAACCAGGTGGGTATCCAGGCAGAGAAGCAAGCTATATCTCTGCTATCTAAGCTGAGGAATGAGCTGCAAACTGACAAGCCAGTGCTAGCACTGACAGACGGCCTACCGGACACAGATTCCTGGAACCAATACCTAGAGAGGCAGCAGAGACTGCAAGGTGACCAGGAGCCTGTCAGCTGGTTCAAGTCTCCCTGGCTTTACGTGGAGTGCTACATGTACCGTAGGATACACGAGGCGCTCTTGCTCAAGTGAGAAGCATTTATATGTTACAATGGAAGCTACTGTAGATGTAAACCCTGGAATTTTGTAATAACTTTTAGTATATTACTGAGGGATACTTTTATATACTGACAAAACCTTGGTACTGACTGATATAGTGGTGCATAGAAAAACAAAAACACAGTGGCATTGGTTAGTGGATAAATGATTTTGACCATCAACATCAACCTTGAGTTTCACAACCGGTGGACCTTCAGTAAATATGTTCCTCTGCCAAGGCTTGTATTTATCTCTTTGTTTGTTAGCCAGGTTAGACAAAAATTAACACAACTGAATTTCATGAAACTTTATGCAAAGGTACAATAGAAGACAAGGAAGCATCCACTTAGTTATTGTGTAAATCCAGACCAGTTGCTTTGAAAATCTGAGCTCTATCTTTGGCAGAGGATATGCTCTCCAATTCCCCTTCTCATTTCTTTTTAGATTGTGTTTGTTTAGTTTTTGTTATGATTTCTGTTATGATTTTATTTCTTCTTTTATTTCAGTCCTCCCATCAGTGACTTTGATGTCTTTAATGAGGGAAAGACTCAGAGCTTTACTGAGTCTTCACAGGCTGTGATGTCCTTGTGTACGTACTTGGAGGGCATCAAGAACAACATAGACGAGCTGTCTAAGAATCCGCTGTTTGAGCATTTCAACAAACTAATGCAGGTCAGTTCAATTTATGTCCTTAAAGCTATACATTTACAAGATTCTCAGTATGTAAGTTACTATTCTTTTTTTTCAATTTTCCATTTGTATTTATTTAAATTATTTATTTATTTATTTAAAACTTTGCTTTTTAGTATTTAAAAGTGAGTGATTCTACACCCGAGATGAATGGTCCTCTTGTGAATCCTTGTTGTGATTGGTAGCCTAATTTAAAATGAACCCACTAATACCAGTGGGATTAGACCTTCATAACTGCAATAAATGTGGTGCATTAGTTCTTGGAGATTTTATGTTTTACAGTATTCAGTTACTATTTATTGAATACACTTTGTGACTCTTTTAAGGTATCTCTGTGGGGAAACAAGTGTGATCTGTCAATATCTGCTGGCCAAGAGAACTCCCAGAAGACCAGTCCACTAGATTCCCTCTACAGCCTCCTGCCCTTCATCCTGGTGGATGACACCAAAAGGGTATGGTCAGCTCTTATTTCTGCGCAGAGGCCAAGGGAGTCAGGGAAAAACAATGCAGACAGAGTGGACATTGTTCTAGACAATGCTGGCTTCGAGTTGGTCACTGACTTGGTCTTAGCCGACTTCCTGGTTTCCTCTGGCCTTGCACGTCAGATTCATTTTCATGGCAAATCCATCCCGTGGTTTGTCTCTGACGTCACAGCTAAAGATTTTCAGTGGACCATTCGGCAGGCCATGGCAACCAATCACAAGTGGGTTTCCAAATGTGGTGTTCAGTGGCAGAGGTACTTGAAAGAGGGAATGTGGTGCTATCATGATCATCCTTTCTGGACACAGCCCCATGAGTTCTGCGACATGGCAGCCGATGCTCCTGACCTGTATACAACCCTGCAGGGAGCAGACCTGGTGCTGTTTAAAGGCGATCTCAACTACAGGAAGCTGACTGGAGACAGGGACTGGGAGCACACAGTAAGCTTTGAAACTGCACTGCGAGGCTTTGGGCCTGCAACGCTGTGCAGCCTGAGGACTCTCAAGGCCAACATTCAGGTTGGTCTGCAACCGGGACAAGGGGATAAGCTTACCTCCCAAGATCCAAGCTGGATGACTAGCGGCAAGTACGCTGTGATTCAGTTCCACAATCCAAAGTCAGAATAGTAAGGTTCAAATCAGGAACTCACTTTGATGACATGGGTTTAAAAAGAAGCTTCATAAGCAGGCGATACCTTTAAACCACTAGACACTTAAGTTAGGGGAATTGTTAAATGTTGTTTACTAGCACTTCATCAAGTTTGATTCAGGAACGCGCACAATAATTAATACTCAGTAATAATTTCATAAAAAGCCATCTCATATCAAAATTTCACCTCCTACATTTTATCCTACATGTGTTGTAAACCATGAATTTAGTCATACTGTTTACAGGTTAATGCTGTGAGCAATTACGGAGAAAAAATTGAGTATGAATTCTATAGCAGAAACAGTTTTGCATGCAGTTGTGAGAATGATGTAAATCTAACTTATAGTTTGTTTGGGTTTTTTTGTTGTTGTTGTTGTTTTTCTTTCTTTTTTTTATCTTTTTTTTTTTTTTATTCAGCTCAGGTTGTTTTACTCCGTGTGATTACAGCGAGTTAAGTTCACCAAAAGCAGATCATAACATTTTTTGAAAATTACATTGTTGTTGGAGCAGTGTAACAATAAGTGGCATGTGCTTGTTTTGCTTAAAATGGGAACCTGGACCTCTATCTCCATAGATAAAAGTGGATGTCTCTTTGCACATTGTCATGTCGTTTGTCACTTTTAGTAATCAACAGGTGATGTTAACTGGATCCCATAGTGCTGCTGGGTGAAAATGTTATTTTGATCATTTGTTTTGATTTAATAAATCACTACTATGACTCTGCTCTTTTTCCTTTTGTCGTACTTTACAAGCAAGAAAAATGTTTTTTGGTTTTTTTTGTATACTAATAGCTATTTTGTAAATTTGTCCATATTGAAATGAATGCATTTCTGAAAGTGCTATAACTAAATTTAAGGATATAATTCCTCCACTGTAACCTTCTTGAATACCACGTGCCAACACAGTGCAGAGTAGCTGCCTAAACTCTACATTATTGTAAGGACTTTACCATTATTATAGGGTCCTTTACCTTACAGTGTGAAGCACCTTGAGGTGACTGCTGTTGTGATTTGATCTTAAATTTGACCTGTATTTTTGGTCTTGCATGTAACAGCGTAACAGGAGAATTTAATTTACATGTATACACAGCAAAATATAAAGACCCAGTTAACCTTAATGTTAAAACAATGAACAAATACATTTGTAAACACACAATCTCTTATAAGGTAGTCTGTTCACCAGGGTTGTGACTTTAGTCTGTATTTATAAGAGTGTTTTCCTGATGACCTTTCATTTACTCAGGTCGGGTTGGACCAAGAAAAATGGCCAACAAAACAGCTGGAAATGCTGCAGTATGTGCATTACAATTCAGAATGAGCTGTAACAACACTGGCATAATTTAGGCTGCTCTGATGCTTTGTGAATGTGGTACCTTATGAAAATGAGGCCTTATTACTGCAGGAAGCATCTTATCTTGAATCATTTAGGTGATTTAGCTGTTTCATTTCTCACCCTTCATTTTCTTTTCCCCTGGTGTAACAATGTCTTCATTTTACTCTAGGGAAAATAGAAAAAATCATCAGAGCCACTTGTTTTCCACTTGACCTGACATGTCCTGAAAATTGGGCTGTTTACACAAGAAAGATGTACCACAGAGAAAGGAAAATTAGGGCTCCGTGTCAAGTTTTCTCCCCCACTTGGTGGTAGCCATTAATTATTGCATGAGAACATGTTTGACTTTATAAATTTCTCACATAAATTACAACATGTCTCACTTGAGTAGCAAGAAGACGTGAATTCAAATGGCCCAAATAATTTTTGTGCGTCTTTCTGTCATTGACTCCGAAATCTGTAAACAGTTATTTTTTACATTTGATTTTTATCAACAGTGGTTGGTCGGTCCCTTGGCTTTGTTTATGTACACATAGTGTTCTGCTTCGCCTGTGATTTGAACGGATAAAGTGATGATTAACTGGTCCATGCTGTGGATCTGTAACTTATATCAACCTTCCCTTAATGGAATGTGACTCAGAAGGTATCTTTTAAAATTTCTCTCAGATTTATTGCAATGTTTAACGAGAAGAAATAAATGTGAAGCATAAAAATGATTATCAATCTCTTCATTGGGGATTGATTGTGTAATTACTCGCTGTCAGAAAGAGATTTGACCTCCTGCTTTGTTTGCTGTGTTATGGTGACCTGGCACTTAAACGCACCACGGTTATCGATTTGGCTGTATCTTTAATTTGTTTATCCTTTTTTTCAAACCTTTCCACTGTTCCCATTGTGTCCAATGAGCTCAATTAAATGCCTGTGAGGCAAGCAGAGCCAGTACATTGTACAGCACATAGGAGGATGCTTCGTTTGTAAGTGGTGAGTAGTAGTATAGTAGTAGTAATGGTAGATTGTGGTTTTCTTTCAGCCTCTGCTGTTGTTGTTGTAAACTGTCCACAGTGATTTCTTTAAATCTCACTGCAAATAGACTGGCAGTACATCACATCTGTCCTGTGCTGCTATCGGCTGAGCAAATAATGAATAAGCAGTCAACTTTTCTCAGCAAAACAGGTGCAACCAGTGACAATTCTTCCATATTACACAAATGACGAGTGGGAACTGTGGCACGCATGAGAAGACACGAGTTGTTTGTGAATGACTATTTTTTTCTCCCTCTGTCCCACCAGCCTTTCTCCCTCTCACACTTTGGTGAAGATGTATTAGAAAAGAAGGAGGTGCTTTGCTGACAAAAAATAAATAAAATACGGGAAGAGTTGTTTAAAACTCTTTTTATTTTGTTCTTTTGGAGCTTAGTGACCAGAAGCTGAAGGCAGACACAAAAAAGCTGAATAACAGTGGAGCTTTCAAGTTGTCTGACAAGCTTTGTTGGAGAGAAGAGACCCAGAGAGCAAGTGAGGGGGAAAAAATAAAGAGAGGGAGAGCAACACTCCTCTCTACTCCCCCTCCCAACAAATGGGAGAGCCAGTCTAAATCATGTTGCTTATCACTGCTGTTGTGCTGTGATGTTGCTCAGGCAGAGCCCAGCGCAGAGCAGACAGCCGTGCGGACCAGTACTCAGACCCAGGGACAGCCCAGCCTCCTCAGAGCTGGAGCCCCACTCTCCAACTCGCGTCTCGCCATCGCTGCGTGCCCCCCTCTACGACATGTACCCCGAAGAGAGCCGGGGGTCTGGAGGGGTAGCCACTGTGGACTTCCTGGATGGGTCTTATGACTATGCCGCCCCCACCCCTGCCCCGACTCCTCTTTACAGCCACTCCACCACTGGCTGCTACTCGGCTCCTCTGGACGCTCACGGACCACCGTCCGATGGCAGTCTTCAGTCCCTGGGCAGTGGGACAACCAGTCCACTTGTGTTTGTGCCCTCCAGCCCACGGCTGAGCCCCTTTATGCACCCGCCCAGCCACCACTATCTGGAAACCACTTCAACACCCGTCTACAGGTGAGGAAATGCAGTTTTTTTTTCTGGTGGAGAAAAGTGACAGGAAAAAAGTGAATGGAATTATTACCCCCTTCTGACACATTTAATTATTTGTCTGGCAATGGCACATCCAGGGCTTGGTTTTGATTGTTTGGCAGTTGTGTTTGTGCAAAAGTTTGGTGATTATGCAAGCGTAACATGATAAGTACAGTCAAAACCAGTTCATCAGGTATGCTGCTTCATTGCGACAGCTGTAGCTGCCTCTATCATGTCTTCATTATAAATTTTAGGTGACTATACCATAAAGAAACGAATTAAGCCCGGTGTTTTCTGGCATTTATTTATTTAATTGGTGTGTTCTACCAGGGGACAGTAGAACAAAATATTACTGGAAAACTAAATTCAGAATTTGTAATTAGTGAATTATGGCAGTGACATTCAGTTGGGTCCTGTAAATGCCGTTATAACAGAACAATTATATAACCACATTGTTTTTATTCTCTTGCTTTATACAAAACATAACTATTATCTCTGAGGAAAGGATCAAGCTTTGTCCTGGTCTCTAATTCCAGAGATTAAGGACTTTGTTAAGGACCTTGAAAAGGGAACAATACGTAAGAACAACAGACGTAAGAACAACAGACGCACACACACAGTTTGTTTCCTGCCTCAGGTGAAAAATAAAACTCCGCTCCTGCTGTCAGCTGCTGTTGTATTAAAGTCGTTCTGATAAGATTTGATTAATCACTAAATGACTTGCCTAACATTTTCAGGGAAAAGAAAATGTTCCATTTTTTGGCAAAAATATCCAGATGTATTATTTGATTAACTCTGCAACTGAGCTTTATCTTTATGAAAACAAAAGAAATTACCAAATTAAAATTCATGGCGTGTTGCAGGTCCAGCCATCAGCCGGTTCCCAGAGACGACCAGTGTGGTACCCGTGATGAGGCATACGGCGTGGGCGAGTTGGGAGCTGGAGCTGGGGGGTTTGAAATGACCAAAGAGACGCGTTTCTGCGCTGTGTGCAGTGACTACGCGTCTGGATACCACTATGGGGTGTGGTCTTGTGAGGGCTGCAAGGCCTTCTTCAAGAGGAGCATCCAGGGTAGGTAGTTTGTCTGCTTTATCTGTTTGTCATCAGTAGATATAAAAGGATTGCGCTATATTTTGTGAAACACTACAGATCAACTACAGTTGATTAAATTAGGAAACTGTCTAAATCATGGGCTTTATTGTGTCTGTCATAGAAAATAACAGTATTAAAGAACACAGTGCACTAAAGTAATTGGCTTCTTAACTTTGAGTGCTATCAAGCAGAAAAGACATAGTGTCCTGTCCTTCAGCCAAAGACATTAAATATGGGTTAATTTATGACATGGGGAAATCTAAAGAACATTCCTGACAGGAAGTTTGGATGTTGTTGACTCATTTTACAGAAGTGAACGACCTGTAATGTTTACAGAAAAATAAGCAGCCTAATTGGAGTTGAATACTGTTGGGTTAAAGGAGGAGACGGAGGGAGGATGCATGTCAGAAAGTGGACATTGTGAAACTGAGAGACAATTTAGGTTTCAGTCCATTTATTTATTTTCATTTGTGAGACATCAACTGTTTTCCAAACTCTTTGTGCTGTTGCCCCTATGTGTGCAAACCAAAACTCAGTGTGCTTGGTGTCTGCGTCATGTTTATGATTTGATGCGGTTTGTGCATTGATGCAAAGTCGTGCAATGAAAGAGCGCTCAAGAAGAAACCAATTGTCTCCATGGCAATGACAAAGCCAAGATGCCACGTTTTAATTTGCTCCATCTCAGATTCATTTAGAATGGGGAATAGAGTGCACCTGGCTACTAAATAACCTAAATCTGAACTGCACACTGAAGTGGGTAGCTGAAAGTAATAGATTTTCTTTCATCTCAGGTCACAATGACTATATGTGCCCAGCGACAAATCAGTGCACCATTGACAAGAATCGGAGGAAGAGCTGCCAGGCTTGCCGTCTTAGGAAGTGCTACGAAGTGGGCATGATGAAAGGAGGTGAGGGTGAACACCAGCAGAAGAAAGATTCTCCACCTTTTGCACGTTTTAATTTTTTGTAAAATCGTGTAAAGAAATTCTATTAATAATTTTTTTTAAACAAAAATTACACTCTTCTTTATAAATTTAAAAACTGATTGTCTTGCTGTGGAAAAACTTGGCACAAACATGAGGCTGCTGTTGGATCCAGATAAGCTTGAGACTAACTTTAACATGACCTTGAAGAGATTTCCTCTTAAGGAGTACAACTGCTCAGTCACATTTTTGTTTTCATACTTCCTGAATCACTCAGTAGTCCAAAAGAATCTGCGCATCTGTGGTAAGACGTGGCAAAACATGAAGTTATTTTTGAACAATGTGGGGGAAAGAGTGAAGTGATTTATCTACACACCCGTAACTACTTGTTTGTTTTTTCCCTCTTTTTTTGTATCATGATGTTATTTCATCCTTGGTCTGTCCTCAAGGTATGCGTAAGGACCGCGGACGTGTTTTGCGGCGTGAAAAACGACGGGCCTGCGACAGAGACAAACCAGCCAAAGACCTGCCACACACAAAGGCGCCCCCTCATGATGGAAGGAAGCATGCAACGAGCAGCAGCAGTACAAGTGGTGGAGGAGGAAGATCCTCTTTAAATAGCATACCTCCTGATCAGGTGAGGAAATAGTGAGCATCTACAGCAGGTTTTTATGAAAGTCCACTATCAGGTTTTATTGATTTAGGGGGAAATTTTGATTGTCATCCAGGTGCTCCTCCTGCTCCAGGGTGCTGAGCCTCCAACCCTGTGTTCTCGTCAGAAGATGAACCAACCCTACACGGAGGTCACCATGATGACCCTACTCACCAGCATGGCCGACAAGGAGCTGGTTCACATGATCGCATGGGCCAAGAAGCTTCCAGGTAGGAATTAATCTAAAGTATAGCAAAGAAGAATTTAAAGAAGCAACAATTAAGCATTAAGACAAGAGCAGCAATAGACAGTATCCAGAGGGTGTTCATAGAATGGCTGTGTTAGTTTACCAGATACATCTTAGCCTGAAGTCTTCTTTGACTCTTTAGGATATTCCTAAAGAGAGGATTTTTGTTCATCAACAAAAATCCTCTCTGTAAGACGAAGAAAAAATATTACAGCACTGTAATAATTTATAGATTAAATGTCTAACAGGCCCTGAAACTGTGGCTTACATCACAAAATGACAAATGACCACACATAAAATGATCAGGTTTAGTTGTATGTGTATGGCAAAGTGATGCCTTTAGGATCTATTTTAATAAAATGTTTCCAGTAATCATGCAAGTGCTACAGTATCCTATTGTTTATTGTTAAATAGTTATAGCGCATCAGTCTACAACATGTGCATAAATGTGAGGTCACATGCAAATTATGTGCGCCATTTCTTTGGAGCATCGTGACATCTAATAAAAAATCTTGGAAAAAAGTCCCTTAATCGTGCACAGATGTAATGTGTGAAGTTGCAGTCGTGTGTGTGTTGTTGTCAATTTGACTTCTTAGGAAACAGCAAAGAGATGGGAGACCTCTGTAGTAAAAGTACACATAAGCCCCCCACACGAATACAGAGCCATTACAGAAATAGTAGTTACAGTCATCACCTTTGAGAGGATTGTTTGGTCAATCTGCAGGCACCCCATAGAGCCTAAATGCAGTATAAGACACATCACCCTTTTTACATGTGCTCTCACACACACACAAACCTGGCAGGGAGGTTTAAAACCCAGATTTTGAGGCATTACAACCTTGTGTGTCACTAAAAGCCCAAAGATACCCAACTTTAATTGCAAGAGGTTCCAAACATTGTACAGGGGGCACAATGGGGGAGATTGGCTGTAATTATATATGAATTTAACCCAGCTGATTGCCAGCAATAAGGCTTCTTTTGTGAGCAGAGATTGCAGATGATATATTCAAGTAGATTTTCTCTGGCTTAAAACAAGAGTGTGGATGTTTTAGTCATTTTTGAGTGGGTTGAAGGTGAGCAGGAGACATTAATATTCTATTACTTGTCCTGGTTAAAAAGCACAGATATTCTGAGTAGACTTATCTACTTTTTTTTTTACATTTCTGAGTACAGAATAATGGCTGAAACTACTAATGGCTAATATTTGTAGTGAAGATTTTTATTTTGCTTTTATCTGTGAGTCTTCTGGCTAAAGGCCTTATTTTGTTTCAGGACGGATGCTTCAAATGCTCAGAATTGTTAAATCTGCTGGGTGTGGTTGAGATTGCCTGCATGGCATCAAAAATTATCATCACGACGTGCTTTGTATTTTGTGTTTCTAGGTTTTCTGCAGCTGTCTCTTCACGATCAGGTGCTGCTGCTGGAGAGCTCGTGGCTGGAGGTGCTGATGATCGGGCTCATTTGGAGGTCCATCCACTGTCCTGGCAAACTCATCTTCGCACAGGACCTCATCCTGGACAGGTAGCGAGGGGTACTTCCCTAATTTTCACCTTGGTATCCTTTCTCATCTCGCTGTCCCTGCTATTCCAACCTATTTCTCTTTCTTTCTCTATCTCAGACACATCTTAAGGGTGATACATCAGCATTGTAAATTTTCCATTTCACACTTTGCCAGGCATTGTGCCATCCCAACATGTCTGTCACACGGTGAAAGACTAATTACATGTTCCCCATGGAGAGGAGAGCAGCCTCTTTCCTACCTGAAATACCCCGTCATCATTACAGTGCTGAGCTTGCAGCCAGGAAAGAGATTTAATCAAACCCTCAATACAAGGAATGATGGAAAATGAAGAAAGATGGAGTGAGAGATGACAGTGAGAGAGAGATAGAGCTAAATGATGAACAGAGAGGACGAGAAAATAGAGATACGGGGGAGACACGGCTGTTTTCTGCTTTGCAGGCACAGCCTGTTCCCTCCATTTCCCGCCATGTTAAGAGTAAACAAGCTGGCCAAAGCACAGTATCTACCTCAGAGAAAAAGAGAGAGGCGGAGACAGATCGAGGGATGAGGGAGACTTGCGGGCAGACAGAGCTTTTACCCTCTGATGTGCCTGATGGTCCCATTTGATTCAAAAGTGTATTAGAGAGTATTATCTCTAAAACCTGGTCCCTGTATGAGTGTCCTCTCCAATTGGACTTGATGACTAAAATGCTGTTGGACCAGGGTTGGCAAATTCCCTCCGCTCTGTGCCATCCAACTTTAACTTGCACTCCAGCCACATTATCCATCTTTCCATCACCTTTCAACTGTGTGGACAAATGGAGCCTTGCAGCCATTCAGTCCATTAGTTGTTTATCTGGTTGCTTGTTTGATAGTTTGATGGTGCTCTTCTCCTTCTGCATTAAAGCGGTGATCTGCTTTTGTTAAAATGTGACTTTTTGGGTAACTTGTGTGATCTTGATATTGTTTTTCTTCCTGCATGACACATTAATTCATTCTGCTGTCCAGGACTGAAGGCACATGCGTCGAGGGCATGGCCGAGATCTTCGACATGCTGCTGGCCACAGCGTCCCGCTTCCGGATGCTCAAGCTCAAACCTGAGGAGTTTGTCTGTCTCAAAGCTATCATTTTGCTAAACTCTGGTAAGACACCGTGTTAACGTGACCTCCTTGTGAAAGCATTTCAAAGAGAGAGAGAGAGACCAAACTGATACCTGAAAACATCGAAGGACACTTCACAAATAAAAGGATCCGTTCCCTAGTTCATTTATTTATTTATTTTCTAATATCCACTCCGTTTTGTTCACAAGAACGCCACACCAAAGGTTTGTGTATCTGCTCCTGAGAGTAAATATGGAACAGTGTCAAACTACACCCACAGAGGTAAAGCTCTCAGTGCTGCGCAGACAGATTAGGCGAACAGAGCGTTCTGGAGAGATCTGTACCGTCAATAACCAATAGCTGTTCCCATGACAACATGAGACAGCACAGAGGGCTGTGTTTGCCCCGGAGATTGAGGTATTCTATAAGAGAAGTCTGAAATACCAGTGAAATGACACTACTGGCTCAGCTGCTGGAGCGGGATGAACTTTAGATTACTGAGATTGCCGTGCGTCATCTTAAGCATGTGGATCAGATCCTTTATCAAATAAAAATTTAATCGTTTCTTCATTGTAAGAAAGCTGAGTATTGTTAAGGAAGCTCCATAATTTTCTTCTCGGACTCAACTAGAGGAGCCACGCCTTGATCTGAAACGAGCTGTTTTAGCGCACCTTCCTTTAATGCTGCAGGCACACTGGGGAAAACAGCGGATGAAGACTGCGGCACAGTAACCAAAATTATTGTGGCGGCGTGCAATGATCTCATGATTTTGTCGGCTTTGAAATGGTTGGGGTCCAGACCCTGGACCACTCGTAGATGTTGACGTGTCGCTTTTAAGGCGGCAATAAAACCTCAACAACACGCAATCAGTCTGCTATCAGTTTGCTACCGAATGGGGTTGAGTCGGCGATGATATGCAATCTGTTTGTGGTAACACAGCAATTATCTTTCAATTCAGTTTTATTTATATCAAGCCAAATCACAACAACAGTTGCCTTTATATTGTAAGATAAAGACAAACAAAGCTGTGTGTCTGAGATGACCAGAAATATCTTGTCTCACTGATGACATCATACGGAATGAACAGTAGAAAAAACGAAACCTCTAAAACGGGGCATTTAAGCTTACAGTGACATCCTTATTTAAACTTTTGTGTTTTTTTGTGAATATTGCAAGAAAAACATGTTTGAAAAGATTAGTTCAAGAGAAAAAACGAGCTTTAGACAGAAAGTTGGCAGTGAGCTGATGATGTCTTGGTCTCTTAGGTGCCTTTTCTTTCTGCACTGGCACAATGGAGCCCCTTCACGACAGCGCGGCAGTGCAACACATGCTGGACACCATTACCGATGCGCTCATATTTCATATCAGCCAATTGGGGTGCTCGGCTCAGCACCAGTCAAGAAGACAGGCCCAGCTGCTCCTGCTGCTCTCCCACATCAGGCACATGAGGTAGAACTCAAAACACTGTGAGAAAATTTCTAGTTTCAGTCGCCCTAATGTGATGACGGTAACAGTGTGAGGAAGGTTTTAAACACATTGTAAAATCTAACAGAGACTCTAGGTTGCAGAATGCAGTGTTAGAAAGCAGGTGAGGTCACCATCTCTCTTTGGTTACACTCCCTGCAGCAACAAAGGCATGGAGCACCTCTACAGCATGAAGTGTAAGAACAAAGTGCCTCTGTACGACCTGCTGCTGGAGATGCTGGATGCTCAACGCATCCATCGCCCAGTCAAACCATCTCAGTCCTGGTCCCAGGGTGACAGAGACTCTCCCAACACCAGCAGCACCAGCAGCAGCGGCGGGGGTGGCGGCGATGATGAAGGCACCTCCTCGGCTGGTTCCAGTTCAGGACCTCAAGGCAACCACGAGAGCCCGAGGCGTGAGAACCTGAGCAGAGCGCCCACAGGTCCAGGTGTCCTGCAGTACAGGGGGTCCCATTCCGACTGCACCCGCATCCTATGAAGGTTTAAAGTCATTTTTATGGATGGTTTGTGCAGAGAATTTTAAAAAAAAAGGGGTTGGTGAATTAAAGATGGTGGTTATAGTCGAGTTTGCATGAGAGAATATTTATAAATGAGGTGATTTTTATAGCTGTTTAGTGAGAACCTTCTCATTGGAATTGCACAGCAGTCTGAATTTCAGTGCTGTCAGCCTTGTACGCTGCCTTTAATGATACCTGTGATTTTCAATCAGCTTTCCAGTACCGCTTATCATTTCCAAAACAGCAGATGTTTAATGTGGTGCTCTGTTAGCTACGGTGATTTCAAACAATGAGCAGCTAATCTTTCTGTTTATTCGCCTCGACCAAAGTGCACTTCCTCTGTGATTTAAGAGGCTGATGGGCATTATTTTTTCATATAAAGGAAATAAAAGAGAAAGAATTACGCAGGAAATGATGGTAAAACTAGTTCAAATGAACGTGGAATTCGTTGTGCTTAGATGCCGGTATTGTTAAAAAATAGATATCAGGTAATGTGGGTGAGCGCACCCAATTTTCTCTCAGATATATCTGAGAAAAAATATTTTAGTGATGGCAATTTTGAAGTGAGGAGTGGGAGAGGATGTATCTGTTGAATTTTAAGTTGGCAGAAATTGTGCGATCGAGTCCTAAATATCAGTTGGCTGTTTGTTGGGTAACGTCTGTGTACAGGAGGATTGTTCTCTGTGCTAACCTACGTCAAATCCTTTTTCCTTACTCTCTTATGTGGCCGTCCGTGTTCACTGTGCACGTGTGTGGTTAGCAGAGAGACTACACGCTGAAACAGGTAATAACGGTGTTAAAAAGGAAGTCTCCAAAATGAATATATGTCAACCTAATTTCTGTTTAAATTGCAGAATTTGATGCAGCTGAAGAAATGAAACACCTAAAACGAAGTTTATCAGATTTTTTTTCTCTTTTAGTTGGCTTACAAATTCCTGAGGTCACGTATTCAAACTGTTTTTGGGTCTGACTAACAGCCTGAAATGGTTTCGACACACAGTGAGGACAAATTTAACAGCCAGCTTGCCAACTTTAGATTAGCTGCAACAGTGCAGTCAGCCTGGGGGTTGTTTAGCCTCTGAATAATTTGCTACAACATGCCACTCAATGTTTTAGGCTTAAAATCTTGCATCAGATTAAATGCACATTTTGGACTGCATAGAGTATACCAATATACGTTACATATTGGTTGCACTGTGCAAAAGTCTTGATTCGACCCTCGTTTGTTTTTATTTTTCTAGGAAAATGAGAAATAGATGCAAGGATTTGTTGGAACCTGTGAAAACAAGCATAAAAATACAGTATATAAGGTAAAAACAGAGTTTGTACAGATGTAATGAGCTTGAAAGTCAAGATTTGCTCTAACCACGTTTATTTTTTAAAGCAGCCTTAACTGGCTTAGGCAAACTTTCTTGTGATTTCTTTAAGTAGTGTTCAGGAATAGTTCTTTAGGCTCATTAAAGGACATTCAAAACTCTTCTTTGAATGTTGGCTGCTTTTTGTTCTCTTGTCTATGAAGACGACCCCACACTGTTTTGATAATTAAGGTCCGGGCTCAGGGAGAGACGCTTTCCAGATAGTATCAATCCCTTATGCTACTTTTGTGCATTCACAATTCCTTCAATTTTGAGAAGATCTCCAACCCCACTGGCTGAAATGCAGCCCCAAAACCCTGACAGAACGTCCACTCACACTCTCTGTTGTTCCTCTCTCCTGACCTTCTCGGCACATATTTAAAATGAATTGAACCAAAAGTTTAGGTTTATCAGCTCTTTTATCAGAAGGACTTCACTTTCCCTTACTGTTCATCTGCTAATCAGAAATATTACTTCTTCTTTTGTCCTCCAGCTTTTAAGTTTCCGGAATTTTGCAAACCCTGTTGGGATACGCTGGGATACGTTTTTGGGAAATAGCTCCTTCGGAATCACCTTGTTGTTGCCAAAATACTATTGTCTGCCTGCCAAACTGTGGTATTCTTGGTATTTTTGATATATTTGGCAAAAGAAATGGGAACAAATGATGATTAAATTTTTGCAACAGGATGCTAGCAACAAAGCTCAGGGGAGTTTAAAAGTGCTGCTTTGCTAAATTGTCTGTACTGTTTAGACACAGCACTGGTCCATCTCTTGAGTTAGGTGCCTTTTTTTATGCTTAATTGATTTATGGGTTAGTGTTAAAGAAAAAAATATGGTGTGAAAGAACCAATGTCCAAAGAAAAACCGAAAGACCTTCAGAAAAGGTCAGAAAACTGAAATTACAAGGAGGTTTGGCTCCTTGGAAGCAAAATATATATAATACTTGTGTACACTGTAGATTAGTGTAAAAATGTCTTTGATGCCCTGGAACTCAGGTCAACACATTTTTTTTAAACACAATGAGATAAGATTTTTCAAATGAGGTTTTGGTGACTTCTTGTTTGCACCATCATTGGCTGTTTCAGTGTATGAGGCCCCGGCTCTGCCTGCTTCCTTCCTTCCTTCCTCTTTTTCTGTCTACGTTAATAAAGCCGATGCACACAGCACTCTGCTCACTAGGTGTACCTTTCTCTTAATTTTGTTTGCAGTCACACGGCATCTGATTAACTGCACACAGTCACACTTGGGAAGCAGGGATGAGTCTGTATTTGACACCTTTTGCTCAACTGATGGTTTGCTAGTTGCATTTTTAACTAATTGTTTTATTAATCCAGTTGCATTTGGGGGACATTAAATGTTTTTACCCAGCCTTTAGTTTGTTGATGCAAAAAATAAGTACTTTAACACAGGAGCCAAGCTGACTCCAGAAAAAAAAAAAAATAAAAAAATAAAGCAACTGAATCTGGGATCAAAACACAGCTTCTGTAGCGATAGATACGAGTCTGGCTGCTATTCTGCGTGCTTTCAATGCAAAACGCTGCCAGCCCAAACATGAAATTACCTGCAACCTGTGATGAGTGGAAACTGTAGGCAATTAAAATTTATGTTGCCAGGGGAGAAGCATTAAAAAAAAGAGGCAGCTGCAGATTTGTGTCATTTGAGAGACGTGTGGAAAGCCTCCACACAGGATCAAAACATCAGATTTGGAAGTGTAAATCCAGCCAAACCTGCCTTGACTGTCGTTTGTTTACTGTGCATACAAATAAAAACAACAAGCATTGTTCATCACCGCCTTTCTCCTGACTCGATTTTCTCCAAATCAAAATCCACAGAAGTAAATATTTCATGTTTTATTACTTGCAAAGAGGGTATTCTCCATGAAGTTGGCATTAGCAAACTGTACATACATAAATAACCATTTTCATATTTAATTTTTTTTAAACAGATTCAGATGTCTCATCACCGCAGAATAATAATCGCAGTTATTACAAAGCACACTATTTCATGTCACAGCCGTCTACTAAAACTACCAGTGATTGTTTGGCCTTCGTAAAAGCGAGAGACTTTCAAGTGCATGCTCAAACTGAAAGATAAAAAAATAACTGCCTGTACTCAAAGGCATTTCAAACAATGATATACAAATGAGAGCTCATCCTCTTTTTTTTTTTTCATTTTTGTCCCAGTTGATAAAATACTAAAATTAAAAAAAAAAGAAAAAAGTACAAGCCTTGGCTTTTGGAGAAAGAAGTCTGCCATCTTGGCTGGAGGGCATCAGTGCAGTACCTTCAGACAGTGCTCGTGTCAGTGCTTTACGTGCAGGTTTTAGACTTCATTTCCAAATTGACAGGCAGGTCCTTCTGAAACGAGTCATCCTGGGGAAAAATACTTCTGCTGACCTGATTCTGTGCGGTTTCGGTCTTTTTTTTCCTCAGTCGATGTTCAAACGTGAGTCTGAAACTAATCTCTTCAGACCCGAGGCTGTAAATAATCTGCTACTCTGACGGCAGGCCTGCTCTTAAAATTTACAATATCCCCCCCACTCACAGTGGGGCTTCAGCTTAATCAATGCTAACAATCTAGTAACAGATTGAACACTAAATAAATAGTAGCAGCACTTGATATAATGGACAAAAATGCACAGTCGACTTTGGCTCCCAACATACAGTATATAAATAGCGCTTTGTTTTTCAACGATTTCGCAGGTTTCTCCAGAAACCTTAAAAATAAAATACTTATTTAAGTTAAAACGACATGAATTTTTTTTCTTTTTTTTTCTGGGGGGGGGGGTATCCAGAGTGTTTTTGTTGTTTGTTTGTTTGTTTTTTTAAAGGGTTGAGGTGACTCAGGTGAGTGGGTGGGTGTGCAATGTTTTGTGACAGCAGTCTTCATGTCACCTCTGAAATACTTCATAATACATCCCCAGCGAGGGGGAAGAGTTTGTTCCTTTAGGGCACAGGGTGAATAGGAAACATTCACATGAGTCAGTGGAGTCCTTGGCAAAGCAGTAGGTAGATTTAAAAAAAATAAATACAAAAATCAGCTGCTCCTCATATGGGCGGAGGTCCGTTGGTGTAGCGCAGCATGGGATGGAAGGAGCGAGCGAAGTTGTTGGCGTGGTGGCAGCTGTAGTCCTCCTCCGTCATGGGAACCAGACAGGCCAGGCCGATGAGGAGCAGGAGGAGCAAGTGGACGGGGAGCGCTGCCCTGAGGACCCGCAGCAGGAAGGACTTATCCTTTGAGGAGGAGGAGGAAGCTGATGAAGTGACGTCTGAGAGGTCAGAACGGGAGGAAACGCAGCCAGCGGCGCCTGGTGATCTGCTCCGGCTGCAGGAAGACCCAGACAAAAATTAAACACTGCAGAGAGTGGGGCTCAGATCACTAGTTGTTGTTTTTTTAAAAAAAAATTTGTGCTAAAACTGCTTTATAGTGAAAAATGCTCCGACTTCATGAGACTATGAATTAATGACTAATATTGCAGATTCATTTAAAATGCCTGGAAAGGATCTGAATGGTAGAAAATTGTCTCGTTAAGCTGTTCATCTGTCAAACACTCTACTCGTGTCGATTTTTAGTTGCTAGCTGAAAGGCTTTTAGAGAAAACAAGACATCGGGGGAACTGTGGCGGGCATTTTTCACTTTTTTTTTTTTTACATTTTATAGTTTGTAAATCTGACATTTAGAGCATGAAAACAAAATTATGTTGAACGGAAAAATAAGAAAGGATACAAAAAGAGTCACACTCATGTAGAAATTTGCAAACACACAAAACAGGCACTCACTTGCACGTGTAAGACAGCATTCACAGATAATGGACTGCGTCTCACCGTATCACTGTGTGTATGTGTGTGTGTGTTTTGCTTTTTTGGGGGGGGATTCTGGCTTCAGAGCTCACTATGTGAAAGTTCAATGCCACATATCTTTTCAAACAGAAGCAGGAGAAATGCCAAAAGCCTCTCTGGAGATTTCCACTGACAGAGCAAAAACTCTAAGGGAAGAACAGCATGTTCTTACTGCGACCCGTCATCATGGAGACAGAGGGTCAGACAAGCTGACATCCCAGTTTCATTGACCTCCATCGTACAGTGATGCAGCTGTGAGTAGGCATGTGCACGCTGCGCATGTGTGCTTCAAATTATTTGGCCAGGCAATGCCTTCTCCTCTGCTGAATTTCTACTTGGAAAATCTCAAATGTACAACATAAAGAAACTGTGAGGGGAAAAAGCACATTTAGTTTCTCTACAACCCTCATGGGAAGATTAGTTCAGGAGTTTAGGAGACTATGTGGTGTAAAGGGGGTGGGTTTAAAGAGGTCTGGAAAGGAAACGGAGGAGAAAATGGGAGTTAACGTGGAAGGAAGACCAGGAGTTAATGCATCATATCCTGTTGGAAAACTATGAAGGGAATGAAAGAGGAAGGAAAACAAAAAAGAAAAACAGAGCTAAAGGCATGACCGCTGTGGTGTGGGTGGGTAGGTGGGGACAGTGGGGCTCAGAGAGTGCCATCTAGTGGGCGAGGAGCGTACTACAAAGTCAGAAGAAGCAAAATGTGTGAAGGCAATACTTCATGATGCCATTCAAAAAGCAGCAGGGCAAAGAGAAGCAGTGAAAAAAAACATTTAAAGGAGAAGGGGAGCGGCCTGATGGAGGCGATTCCCCTCTCGTTTAAGAGCCGACAACATGGTCTCGAGAACAAGGGAAGATCATGGAACGCCGGGTTTAAACCTCAAAGCAGCGGATCACAAACGCTGCAATCGAAATAATATGATAAATCTGCCACATCTTTGACGAGGTGATTGTGCCTAACTGAGTTAATAAAAATCATGCTTGTTGGAAAGGTTTGGTTCCACCATCATCCCAAGTTTCTAGAGTCCAGGAGAGAGGTACCTGTGGCGCGGGCTGCTCTCAGGGTGTCCTGGGTGGGCCTGACTACTTTTGCCTCGGGGCTGAACCAGATAATGAGCAGGGAGGGGTAAAAGAAAGAAAACA